CTGTTACACTCTTCGGTTCGGTTTGATATTTTTGTACTCTGATATTTTGTTGGTGTGGTTTACATTCTGATGAACTTTTAATGGTGATTTGCAGTCAAATGTGTTAACAACTGTCATTGATTGTTAAAATCATAGGATTCTACCGTTGTTGGAGTCAAATGCTTCAACTCATATTAAAAATATTGAAAGCTATGTTCTAAGAAGATTGATCATGACTTTAAGCAACAAATTCATCAAGAGATTAGAGAAACTGACTACTTTGGTTATGAAGAGTAAACCATTGTTTTTGGTGACTTAAAATCTGATAATGTAATGCAAATAGGCCATTTTTAAGATTATGTTATATGTCATTTGCTATTTTGTTCGTTTAAACTATGTATTAGATTTTTGTCCCGCGTTAAACGCGGAATCAAAATATTTGAAAAAAAAAATTAGATTTTTATAATATACGGAACAAATTAAAGACAAAAAAATATCAAAAGGTAAATCTCCCGTATAAATAAATATATTTTATCTTATAAAATTTAATTTGCATGATACTTGAATACGTTTTAATGTAAATTGAATACGTTTGAAATTATGAATTCTCTCAAACTTATTTGAGTTCACCAAACCCAAAAAATATCTTGTTAGTATGTAAATTTTCTTAAACAAAAATTCAAATAAATAAGAAAAAGTGATAATGATGATTTTCGAAATTCAATCTCATTCAATCATAAATAGGATTTTTTCCCTTCACGTCTTTATAGAAAATATATATGACTATTGTCTTCCACATGGCCGAATTTAAATCCATGAAATAACCTTATCACCAACATAATCAAGAATTTCTTGCGTAGTTTTTAAGAAATCCAAAAAGGTAAAGAAGCATTGAAAGAAAACAAAAGAAGCAAAAAAAATGATCTCTTCTTCTTCTTGTTCATCGGAAGTAAAGACTAAATCAGAATGTTTCGTCAAACCCAAAATCATCCCTCAAAATTCCAAAGAGCCATACCATTTATCACTACTGGAACAGTTTGTTCTCTTTGGACCTTACATCCAAAAAGGACTTCTCTTCCTGAAACCATCAGTTATTTCAGAATCTGATGATGCAACATTCATGGAGACTTGGCTACAAAAGCTTGAAGATTCTTTAGCCGCAACACTTGTCCATTTCTATCCCCTTGCTGGTCGCCTCTCGACTTCGGAAACCGACAATCCGAGATCTCACTCTGTGTTTGTGGATTGCACTAACAGTCCTGGAGCTGGATTTATTCATGCCAAATCTGATTTAAGTGTAGAAGATATTGTTGGGTCCAAGTATGTTCCTTTGGTTGTTCAATCTTTCTTTGATCATCACAAAGCAGTGAACAATGATGGTCACACCATGAGTCTCTTATCAGTCAAGGTACATTAATTCATTCATTCTTTTGGTGTGATTCAATGGTGATAAAAATGCTACCGGAACTTGTAGCCTAGTGATTTGTAGTAGTACCGAGGAAGTGTGCGTGTGTGTGAGTTGAGGACATCTTTTTTCGGGTTGTGTAGGTAACAGAGTTGGTAGATGGAGTGTTTATAGGAATGTCAATGAATCATTCCATTGGAGATGGAAGTTCCTTCTGGCAGAGTTGTTCAACTCTTTGTCTGAGATCTTCAATTCACATGAAGAAACCATTGATAATAACAACAACAATAACCACTTGTTCTGTCTCAAGAATCCTCCAATCTTTCCTCAAGCGTCCGGTCCTGTGTACAGCCTTCCTTTCAGTGAATTTGATGAGTTGTTTAGTGGATCCGAATCTCCGGTTTTGAAGGAGAGAATGTTTCATTTCTCTTCAGAAACGGTGAGCTCGCTGAAATCAAAGGCGAATCAAGAATGCGGAACAACAAAGATCTCTTCTTTACAGTCGTTAACCGCGTTTATATGGAGATGCATCACGAGGGCACGTAAGTTACCGAATGATCAAGAAACTACTTGCAGGTTTGTTGCAGACAATAGATCAAGAATGGATCCACCATTGCCATTGGGTTACTTTGGGCTTTGTGTCTCTCCTGTGAAAACGAATATGAAGATTGGCAATCTATTGGAGGAGTAGTTTGGATTGGTTTCTTTGAAACTTCATCAAGCTGTAACGAAACACACTAGTGAAATGAGCTCTTTCGATATGGATCAATGGTTGAAGTCTCTTTCTGTTTTGCAGTATGATCCACTTGTTGACCTGAATATTGTTCACATTGGAAGTTCACCGAGGTTTAACAAGTACGGATGCAAGTTCGGGATGGGGAAAGCGGTTGCGGTTGCGGTTAGAAGCGGTTATGCCGGTAAGTATGACGGGAAGGTATCAGCTTATCCGGGAAGAGAAGGAGGAGGAAGCATTGATTTGGAAGTATGTCTTGTTCCAGAGTTCATGGAAGCTTTGGAATCAGATCATGAGTTCATGTC